CAGAACAATTCACATTATTCATTCACTCTACCTGCTGAGTAAACTACTGTTGTAGCCACAGCTGCCCTGGGGCAGACTGACAGAAGCACGGCTGCCATGTCCACGGCGCCATCGTCCCTCCGAACACCACCATCAAATCACTAGACACGAAGAAAACACAAACTCCACACAGAAAACCCGGTGAACCGGGGATCCAACCCACAACCTTTTGCTGTGAGGCATGATGCTAAACAAAATACAGTAAATAGAGACATGTCATAATACCGGACGGATGTGTACCGGCAGGTCTAAACCAGGACTAAACAGGTCTAACCCAGGTTTAAACCAGTTTAAACCAGTCTGAAAACCCGATCTAAACCTGATCTCACCCTGGTCTAACCCAGTCTGAGCTGGGGTTTCATCTAGTTTGTCCCCTTCCTCCTCCTTCGTCTCCTCTTCCTCTCCTCTCGCGCTCTGTCTTCGTCTTCTTCTTTGTCGTCGTGGAGTTCGATTTGTCCTTCAGTCGTGTGAGAAGTTGGTTTCTCCTCTGCTCCGCTAACGTCTTCGTGGAGCTCTCCAGCTCGGCGTGGGCTTTCTGCAGCTCCTCACACATCTGCTGGATTTGCTCTGCAGACGTGTTTTCTCCTGTTTGATCTTTTCATGCTCATCACAGAGAATCTCCATCTCCTCCGACAGTTCTGTGTTCCTCTGTCGTTGTCTCTCTGTCTCTCTACACTCCTCCGATAACCTGTTCTCCACACATTTCAGATCTTCGGACATGCGCTTCTTATAAGATTAAAAAAAAAATTGAGGAACCGACTCCTGTCCTCAACGTTTCGAGCTCCTCCTTCAAATTCACCTTCTCTTGGTTGAGCTCGGTGACAGTTTTGAGGAGCTCTGAATGGGAGGCTTTCAGCTGAGCATGTTGTTGACGTTCCTCCTTCAGATCTCGTAGGTGTGGGCAGACTTCACCTTCTGCTTCATCACACCTTATCTGAACTTTCTCCAGTGACTCCTGCTGCAAGCAGATCCTGTCGGTCTCTTCTTCGAAGTGTAAGTCGATGATGCCTAAAAAGATTCGGTTCACCTCCTGTAGCTTCCGGTTCTTAACCGAGGACTTTTCGATCCTTTCGCACAGATCTTTGTTCTGATTGTTTAAGTTTTGGATCGTCTCGTTTTGTTCCTGGTTCTGATTGTTTAAGTTTTGGATCGTCTCCTTTTGTTCCTGGTTCTGATTGTTTAAGTTTTGGATCGTCTCCTTTTGTTCCTGGTTCTGATTGTTTAAGTTGTGGATCGTATCGTTTTGTTGCTGGCTCAGTTTTATTAAGTTTTGGATCGTCTCGTTTTGTTGCTGGTTCTGATTTTCTAAGTTTGGGATCGTCTTGTTTTGTTCCTGGTTCTGATTGTTTAAGTTTTGGATCGTCTCGTTTTGTTTCTGGTTCTGATTTTTTAAGTTTTGGATCGTCTTGTTTTGTTCCTGGTTCTGACTTACTAGCATTTCGATCGTCTCGTCTTGGTCCTGGTTCCGATTGTTTAAGTTTTGGATCGTCTCGTGCAGTTTGTTGTTATGATTTAATGAGTTGTGGATCGTCTCGTTTTGTTGCTGGTTCTTATTTTCTAAGTTTTGGATCGTCTCATTTTGTTGCTGGCTCAGTTTTATTAAGTTTTGGATCGTCTCATTTTGTTGCTGGTTCTGATTGTTTAAGTTTTGAATCGTCTCGTTTTGTTGCTGGTTCTGATTTTCTAAGTTTCGGTTCCTCTCGTGCAGTTCCTGGTTCTGATTTTCTAAGTTTCGGTTCCTCTCGTTTTGTTGCTGGTTCTGAGTTTCTAAGTTTCGGTTCCTCTCGTGCATTTCCTGGTTCTGATTTTCTAAGTTTCGGTTCCTCTCGTTTTGTTCCTGGTTCTGATTTTCTAAGTTTCGGATCCTCTCGTCTTGTTGCTGGTTCTGATTTTCTAAGTTTCGGATCCTCTCGTCTTGTTGCTGGTTCTGAGTTTCTAAGTTTTGGATCCTCTCGTTTTGTTGCTGGTTCTGATTTTCTAAGTTTCGGTTCCTCTCGTTTTGTTGCGGTTCTGATTTTCTAAGTTTCTGTTCCTCTCGTTTTGTTGTTGGTTCTGATTTTCTAAGTTTTGGATCGTCTCGTTTTGTTGTTGGTTCAGATTTATTAAGTTTCGGATCGTCTCGTTTTGTTCCTGGTTCTGATTTTTTAAGTTTCGGATCCTCTCGTGCAGTTCCTGGTTCTCAGCCTCTAAGATTTGGCGCTTGACCTTAGGTCGAGAGTTTCTAAAAAACCACCAGGGCATTTTTCTGTTTAAATATGCAGTAAAGAGAGAGAAAAGCTCTAGTGTAAACGTGCAGTAGTAGCTCTAGTAGCAGTACACGCAGTACACGCAGTAGTCGTAGTACACGCAGTAGTCGTAGTACACGCAGTAGTCGTAGTAGACGCAGTAGTTGTAGTACACACAGTACACGCAGTAGAAGTGGCAGTATTCTGTGTCTGTAGTGTTTGTTTCGTGTTATACTTATAATCTTCTTCAAAACAGTAAGTGCTTTTGTGCTTTGTGCTTGTCCTTTACTGATGATGTCATAAAGCAGAGCGCTGCTTTGAAGTAGCAGTAGTAAAAGTATTCTGTCACTTTAGTGTTTATTTCACTGTGTCACTCAAAGTTTACTTTAAAGCAGCGTCGTGCTTCTCTGATGATGTCATCAAGCAGAGTTCTATCACCATGGAGATCCAGGGCGGCATTAGAACATCACGTTGCTACGGCGACAGCTTCTCAGGCTCCAAAACTATTTTAGATTCTAGAATGTGATGATGTCATCGTCCCAGAGGGGAGGAGCTAAATCATTTTCCCGGTGATTACGATGTACTTTTCCATCTGTATTAATATTAGATGGAAACCATGGCAACAGAGAGGTGGTCTGCTCTTGTGGAAGCTTTCACATGTTGAACGTTTAATGTTGTTTTTTTTTATAATTAACAAAACTAGTCGATCTCACCTGGGACAGAAGGGGAGGGGCTTAGATCAGAGAGATCAGGAGTCTAACCCACAACCTCCTGGTGAGA